ATTTTAGACTCTGCATCCTTGATTTGGTTGATTTTTCCACCAGATGCCCTTCCTGACACAACCCCAAAGGGATTTGTGTCTCTTCCAGGGATCAAATTGGGAAAAATTGGGAAAGGTTCACCTGTTAGGCAAACGTGCAAACCGCTACACTACAGAGCCACAGTCTACGACACATAAAGTTGTAGTCCGTTACCTTTGTCATTGTCCTCAACAGCTTGCACATGCTGGTTGTATGATGGTAAGCTGCGTGGGCGCTGTGGGGAGTGGGTGGGGGTGGTTTTGGGAAGAGCAGGGGGGGTGGGTGGGGCAAGAGTGACATTCTTGGAAAGTGGAGGCGCAGCTGGAACCTGAAGGAATGTGGAGTGAAGAAAAAAATGAGTTGGCTCTGATGGAATGATCAGATGAGAGCTCGTGTGTTTCACCTGTGCATGCATGTGTGTGGGTGTCTTTTTTGCCGTCTTACACTGGGGGGTTTGTTGTGGACAGGGCTGTCTATGTGAGCCATGGGCTCCAGGATGTTGAAGGGGACGAAGCCGACCTGGTTAAACCGATTGCGACACTTCCACCAGCGCTTGGATGACTCGATCACCTGTCAGACAGAGAGGGTTTCTGTCAGTGAGAGGGCTGTAAAGTGTATCAACAACTGCAAATAGCTTTTGTCAAACAACAAATAAAAGGACTTTTATGATGGTTCCTTGAGTGCGCCATAAAATGACTTGCTTCACTGTGTGCTTTTACAAACAGCTTGATTCTGTTACCTCCAGTGTCTCCCCCTGCTGCACTGAAAGCTCACTGCTGTTCCTGGCAATGAAGTCATAACTGCAGCAGTAGAGTCTGTCAGGCCCCGGTGGGAGTGAATTTCTGACCAAACGAGACAAAGTTTGTTTTTATTTAGTCGAGGTTAAAAAAACAAACAACAAAAACAGCAGTTCATTGATTTATGTCTTGTAGATGACTTACGTGTCATCGTTTGGTGGCTGAGGTGGTTGTTGCTGTTGTTGGAGCAAAAAAAAAAAAAAAAAAAATAGACAAGTTAAGACAACACAAGTTAGCACAAAATGCATAAAGTATGTAGATAAATATAATGTCAGTGTATATCTGGGTAAGGCTGACTGCATTAAAGTTTGAGAAACTAAGGTGTTATTAAAAAAAACAAAGAACTAACTGTGAACCTTATACAATTTTTAGCACGGATGGACAGAAATGTGAGCTGACCTGTCAAAAAGCGGAAAGTGTATCTCCACTGTTTACTGTACGTGAGGTTTATTCATGCGTTAGTATCTTAAGCCCCTGTGTTGTCCTTTTACACACTCATCCATAGTTCTTGTTTCCACTGATCTACGATTAATGACTTCGAAATCACGTTATAGAAGTATCCCACACCTCTTGTTTTTCTCGAAGGGCTTCGAGTTTGTGCTGTGACTCGACCGGATCCTCCCAAACCTGCCCGTCAGGCTTCAAGGCTTCTGGCTTCCAGCCATCAAAGAACACTGGGGTGTATGGAGCTACAGGCCCACGCAGCTGAGACCTGAGAGAGCAGAACAAGTCACTGCCTTGGCCTTCAATGAGCTCAACAACCAAAACTATGATTGCTATTCAAGCAGTTTTCATTGAGGGAAGTTATGACATTGGATTTTCCTCTTAAAGCTTGCTTACAAGATTAAATATAATAGGTCTTATGTACATTTGACAGCTAATACATCGGTTCCCTTTTCTTAACATGAGAAATCAATAAATCCCAAAATGCCTTAAGTGGATTTGTTATGCTTCTTATTATATAAATACTGTCACAATGGAGCCTGATGGAGGCTCCTGTTAAACATGGCCAAACTTTCAAAGAATCCCTGAGGGCTCAAAGCTCAGGCTTCAGCTGTCAGCCAATCAGAGGAAAGTGTTTTGTCTTAAAGTAAGGGGACCCTCACCCCATGAGCTGAAACTGAAGTGCTGAGACAAAAGACCGAAGAAGACAGATAAGGATTTCTTTTTAGTCTTTCAGTCCAAGAATAAAAATATGGAACTGGATATGAGCATAAAAACGTCCCTTTTAATCTCCTGTCTCAAAAAATCTGCTTATTTCAAAACGCAGGTAAAACAAATGATTTCAAGGGAAACGAAGTACAAAAATATTGCTTGGT